CATTGCAGTAGTCTAACCTACTGGAGACAAATGCATGGATAAGAATCTCCAGGTCTGCTTTAGACACTATGTTTTTGATCCTGGCAATGTTTTTTAGATGGTAAAAAGCTGCTGATGTTACTGATTTGATGTGGCTATTAAAATTTAAGTCTGAGTCCAGTATTACCCCTAGATTTCTGACCTTGTTTGAAGGTTTTAGGGAGAGAGACTGTAGGTGACAGATGACGCTCTCTCTTTGTTTCTGGGGACCAAAGACAATCATTTCAGTTTTGTCTGCGTTTAGCTGAAGGAAGTTGTTTTGCATCCACTCACTGATCTGTTGGATACAGTGAAGGAGTGAGTCCACTGGTCCATGTTCTCCTGCAGTCAGTGAGACATAGATCTGAGTGTCGTCTGCATAGTTATGATAGGAAACTTCGTTTCTGCGTATTAACTGACCGGCAGCTGCGTATTAACTTAACGGCAGCATGTAGAGATTGAACAGAAGAGGTCCCAGGATCGACCCCTGTGGTACTCCACAGGTCAGGGCCATATGATCTGAGACACAGTTTCCAATCTCCACAAAGTACTTCCTGTCTTCAAGGTAAGACCTAAACCAACTTAGGGCGGTGCCAGCGACTCCAACCCAGTCCTCTAGTCTCTGTAAGAGGATCTCATGGTCGACAGTGTCAAAGGCAGCACTTAGATCTAACAAGATTAAGATTGAGACTTTGCCTGCGTCAGTGTTCAGCCGGATATCGTTTGTAACCTTAACGAGAGCAGTCTCAGTGCTGTGGTGGGGTCTAAAGCCGGACTGAAACATATCAAATGAGTTGTTGATAAGAAATCTAGTAAGCTGTAGGTAGACAACTTTCTCAAGGACTTTCCCCATAAATGGCAGATTTGAGATGGGACGATAGTTGTTAAGTACCGTAGCATCGAGACTGCTCTTTTTTAATAATAATAATAATGCATCGGTTTTATATAGCGCTTTTTTGGACACTCAAAGACGCTTCACATGTGTCATTATTCATTCACTCCATACACGGTGGTGATAAACTACTACTGTAGCCACAGCTGCCCTGGGGCACACTGACAGAAGCGAGGCAACCAGTATGCGCCATCGGCCCCTCCGACCACCACCAACCATTCATACACACACCAGACTCATTCTAGGCAATGGGGGTGAAGTGTCTTGCCTAAGGACACAACGGCAGTTTGGCACTTTACAGCCGCAGCCGCCCCACTTTTAGCAGTGGTCTTGTATGTCTTCCATTTTCTGATAATTGCTCCCACAGTTGATTTGTTCACCCAGTCGGGTGCAGGTCTACAGTTCTTTTCCTGGTGTCCTTTGACAACTCTTTGGTCTTGGCCATAGTGGAGTTTGGAGTCTGACTGTTTGAGGCTGTGGACAGGTGTCTTTTATACAGATAACGTGTTCAAACAGGTGCCATTAATACAGGTAACGAGTGGAGGACAGAAGAGCTTCTTAAAGAAGAAGTTACAGGTCTGTGAGAGCTAGACATCTTCCTAGTTTGAAGTGCCCAAATACTTATTTTCCACCAAAATTTACAAATAAATTCTTTAAAAATCCTATAATGTGAATTCCTGGATTTTTTTCCACTTTCTGTCTCTCACAGTTGAAGTGTACCTATGATTAAAATTAGACCTGTCATTATTTTAAGTGGGAGAACTTGCACAATCGGTGGCTGACTAAATACTTTTTTGCCCCACTGTAAATATCAGCCTTATTCTAGCCAGTGAACCACCAGTAATAAACACTTATTATTCAGAAAGGGCCTTACTTAATGCTTCCTTGAATTCAAATAGCGATAATTTACATCTCAGTGACTAAAACGTTGGTAGCTAAGTAAATTAAAATTATTAAAACGACAGATATACATAAACAGACATAGCAATAAGTCGTGTTTTGATATAAAAGGAAAACAGTGATTCATCAGACTTGAATTGATTACACAAAATATATATTTAATATGGGCACGTCCTCAGACGGGACAAATACATTCAAATGAAACATACAGCCATCAGACTCCACAATGTATTGAGTCTAAAACTGAATCTTAGCAGCTCAAAAAAATCTCTTCTTAGGACGAACCTGCCAAGTGACAGATGCAGCATGCTAAAAAATTATCAAAAAAATGTAATGCCATCGCAAGCTCAGGAAAAAAAAAAATCATCTTACACACATAGAAACAGCATATTGTACAAGTTGCAGTGCTGGTGTTGGATTTTTGGTTTGTTCACAAGTGGAGCTGAATGAGAAATGGAAAATGTAATGCTAACAAATGTTTCAGATCATGACAGCCATAAGTGCAGTTGTATAACTCCGGTGGAAAATATCATTTGGCTTTTCAGTCTCTTTTAAAATGTCTAAATGAAATGAGTTTTGAAATTTGTTTTGCAAATCTAACAAAATCACTTTTTCCCAAGTCCATTCAGCCCCATCAATCCCTCGTTCCCTGTTCAGAGGCCTATGCTCTGGTAAAGGGTCGCGCTATTGAGTATAGTGTGTGGTTAGTATTGCTGCTGAAACATACATTTATAATGCACGCACGGTACAGAACATTTTCATACAGTTGCTTCTAAAACTGTCCAGAATCAACTCTTTGAGCAGCTCTTGCAAACACTTCCCCTCGATTGGAATAAGCCATTCAAACCTATTTGGATTGGATGAAATATAGACATACATGTCAATTTACAGTAGATTGTGACTTTTAAAGGCAAAAATAATCCGATTTGAAACGTTTGGGTTTTTTTTTAACAGAAAAAATATAAAATGTACATAAAAACGTCTCATGTACATTGATGAAGCTCCAGCTTAATATGGCAAGTCACTGCATTCAAGTCATTTTAAATCTTAAATGCAGAGTACTGTCAGTATTAGTCAGTGAATGACATGGATGTTGATTAAACATATACGGCAAACATACACACGTATATTGGTATGTCAATAATAATAGCGTTTGTATAAAATCACTGCTGACAGATCATTTGTACAAGGTCCCAAATAGAATTGTATGGTCATTTTTTTCTGACATTTGAATCTTGATCACTATTGTACATTATTGCATTTCCATTCAGCTTCATAGGACACGTGTAAAACTAAAACCCTGAGCGTCAACTTAATCATATTCATTAAAAGAATAAAGCATTTTGGAAGAGAAAGGCTCACTGTGTCACTTTTCTAGGGTCCACCTCTGCTTAGATCAATGTAATGCCGAATTGTGGAACATTCTAAGCTAAGTTTGATCTCAAATCCCAAATCCGTGTTTTATACCAATAGAAATCACTCGAACCAAATGCATGTAGAACAAATGTTTGTTTGATGCAGAATGTTATGCAGTTTCCTGGGAACCAAGGTCACGGGACGACGAGAGCCTGCAACAACTCGTGTCAGTATGAGCAGAGCTTGTGTTGGTTTAACTCCTTAAAGTTAATCAAACTTGTTAAATGTCTGACAGATTATATACGATACATGTGTTCAAGGCTTAGAATGTACACAATGATGGCATTAAACAAACACCAGAACAGTTCCACAGAGAGACAGGTTTCAGAGTTGTCATCCATTTCTCTTTGATAAGGTCTAAATAAACTCTACAGAAGCAGGTTAAATCAGGAGGTGCCTTTTGCTTTTAAGTTGTATTTAGTTGCAAAAATCATAAACCTAAACCATAAACATTTAGAAAGGTTACTGCGCTTCACTACAAAGGGTCTGTAGGAGTTCCTCTTAAACGCTCGAGTCATACATTGAGGGAATTTTGTCCAAATTAGGGATTATTGTTGCTGAACAAATAATGATATAAAAGTTTTTTCAGGAACCATCACAGACTGTTATATTATGTTACTATTACTGAAACTGGATTAAACTTCTTTAACTGGCTTATGTACATGTTCAGGAGGAGGAAATACAGCTTCAGTACAAATACTGTAATCTCGAGGTAAAATTGTCCTGTTTGAGCCATAGCTGGAGATCTGAAGACAAAAACATATCGTAAAAAGGAGCACTGTGGATTTAGACTTTGCCGTTTCCAAACAGTATTTTTGGCCATAAAGCACATTGACAGACAGGTTCATAATTCCACACATTGCAGGAAACGCAATGACAAGCAGGTGGTGCATCCTTCAACACAAAACTTGCATAGCTAGCCCATTTTTTTGTAAATGTATTTTTTACGGTTTTGTGCGCTTTACTAATGCGTTCACGTTTGGTAAATCTAGCACCGCAGAGAGCTCCTACCGTGTATAAAATCGGCACAATCAAAGGAGGGATGAGACAATACAATACTGGTATTGGATGTCAAGGACAGTATTGGCTCAGGTCTCGACTATGGTTTTGGCGATATCCTGATCCGGCTTTTCAATTGATTTGATGAGACCATTTACTGGATCCCAACCCTCACACTCCCAAAGTAAGTCATGGAAGTTGAGGAAAAAGCTCGTATTCAGTCCCTTTGGCAATATCAGATCTGACCCATTAACAGAATCAAGGTTGTTACCGGTGCAACTCTTAAATCATACTCATACTGCTCTATGTAGCATCACTGGGGTCAGATGGTTCTTCCACCTAAAGATTAGATGGAAGGAGTTTTAGATTCTAATCCCTCCATATTGCAGGTTATTAAAAGTTGAATATATAAAAATGGCCATGGATTACTGTCTGCACCGTGGTTGCCATAGTAACGTTTAATTCGTAATTGGCCATTTTTTTAATGAAAAAATATATAATTTTGGGATGTACTCAAGCAGAGCAATGTAGCCTTTTTAAATCAATTAGCAAAAACAAAAGTCTGATCTCCGTGAACGCTGGCATGACAGTTGCACAGTGCACCTTTAATGATCAACCAAAGAATCTTGGATAATGCACTACACTTGTCTTCTGTAGTCCGGACTCCTGGTCCTGACCTGCAGATTCCATCACTACATCTATTAAAACTGAGGTGGTCAAGAGTCCAGCCAAGTCCCCCTGACAGGACAGAAGGACAGACCACAGCAGGGGCAGCTCAGTGGAAATAGGCTCTGTAGCAGGCGTACGCGCTGAGGGCCACAGCGGTGTACAGGCACACATTGGTTAAAAATGGCGACCACGTTCCCGGTTCGGCAAAGTCCTCACATTTAGGCCTCTCCTGTTCGGGACATCGGGCTTTCTCTGTCTCATCCTGCTCCTCCTCTTCTTCTTCTTCTTCCTCCTCCTCCTGCTGCTGCTGCTGGTGCTGCTGTGATGGAGCAGAGTTTTCAGAGGTAGAGTCTTGAATTCCAACATGGTCATCCACATCAGTGCGGTCAGGAATAATTCTCTGTCGCAACTGTGGCTCTTGCGAGGACCTGACAGAGCATGGGAGGAGAATGAGTGGAGAAAAATATTATTCATTTTACCGTTTGAAGTACGTTTTTTTTGAGTCGTTTTTCACTTTTGCTGCTCTTCCAATTTTTCTGAAATCACTGAAATCAGCTGCTAACCGGCTACATAAACAGACAGAGCAATCAAGTGGACATGTGCCTTGGCATTTTAGTTGTTACAAACATCTCCCCAATTACCATTATTATAAAATGTGGATTACTGCAGGTCTTCTGGAAATTAAATTTAAACATTGTATTGGGGCCTTTATGTAAATAAGACTTCAATAAGATCCTAGATTCATTTATACATTGTGTACATGACTTATTTTTGGTCTTCTAATGTGACATACTGTAAATAATGGCAACCTCGTTATAACCACACATTTCGAGGTCACAATCGGGGCGTACTAAAACACGTACAGACCAGTGGACGCATGTTACATTGGCAGTTTTACATCCACACTTGCCCCGAAGTGTAACCAACAAGAGTGACTGCATCGTCGGTCAAAACAAGATCTCTGTGAAAAATGAAATGAAAACTTGAGGGAAATAAATCTTCTGACTTTGTAGGTTTTTGAAACAATGCATGATGTGTGCTGTGATCAAAGCTAGCGGCACCGCAGCCAGTATTAGAGCAGACTATAGAACACGCACAGCCCTTCCTAGAATCATAAAGAGCCATCCAATGCAATGATTGAAGTGGTTTTGTAGTTTTACCCCAGGCAGTGGATCATCTGCTGTGTGACCTCATCCTTTTGGTGGAAAAATTGCATCTCTGTTTTTGTGTCTCTGGGTGGAGGCAGCGGCGGAGTGAACTCTGGAGGCTCATCCTCTTCATGTGAAATCTCTTTCCATGAATCCTGCACAAAAGATTAATTAAAGGCATGATATCAATTTGAGTGTGATGAGTGTGAATAAGTTTCCTATTGCAAGTAGAATTACAGAAGTATTTTGAACAATATTCTGATTTCCCGAGATTCATAAGTAGAATCTCATGTCAATCTTTCCATTTCCAGAGATCAGGGGACATACCAGTAAACCCGACAGCTCTTCCTGATATTTTGAATAAACTGACCAAACAGGAACATTATTCACAAACCTCCTTTACACATAATTGCATAGAATGTAATGTTCTGCACACATCTGACATACTTCTGCTTTTTAGGGCAAGATTAAGACTGCATATTGATTATGCAATGTTCAAGAAGCATGGACTTCCATTATTAAGCAGTTTCAGATCAATAAATTATACGATTGTAAACATGTTGATTTGAGCTATGTGTTAACCCTTGTGCTATCCTGCGCTGAATTAAGGCGCTTTAGGTCACTAGTTTACTAGGCGTAAAGGAGCCGTCCACTTGACACCTGTGTGTGTGTGTGTGCATGCGGGTAAGTTCATGTGTGTGTGCGTGTGCATTCGCTTGGGAGAGCCAGGGACATTAGTTTTGACCGTCAGCTGATCTTTTCCCACATGGGCATTAGTGTGATGTTGAGTGATTCAAGAGCAGTGTGTGTGAACAGAATCACAACAGGAGTGAAGTCAGCTGGAGTAAATCTAGAAAGCCGTCAGGGAGCGCAGTAACACGCGTAAAAACGCCCCCTAAAAGTAGTTTCAAAGTAATGGACGTAGGAGTAGTGTGCCATCATGAGGGAGGTGAGCTTGCCTGCAGAGTTTTGTCTCCGTCGATGTACTTAGCACCTTCGATGACGGCGAGGTAAGAGAAGCGGAGCTGGTCGGCCGTCTGGATGAGGCCCATTCGGTGACGCCGCATCTCCAGCAAAACATCCTGAATACGAACCGACGAAGGATCCCGCCGCATGGACATCTGCAGAGACAACAGCTTTACTGGAATAACTACAGACTGTAGCACAAGTTTCAATGCTTTATAGAAGAGATACAGATACTATTTGCATATGCACATGGATTTAGCAGGACAAAGCTATTTCCTTCCTACATCACAGTGCAAAGTCAAATGTCTTCATTCTGAAGTGATACAGACAAAGTGTGATGATGGTGTGATTAAAAGGAATACAAACCAGTAGCAGGCAGGTGTCCACTAAACAGAAGGTCCCTGAGCGGCCGATGCCAGCGCTGCAGTGCACTACCACCGGACCCTGGTCAGAGTTCAAACAGCCAGACTCACGAACTTTATACAGGAAGTTAAGGAAGGAAGCTGGAGACTCTGGGACTCCAAAATCTGGCCAGGTAGTGTAGTGAAAATGTAGAATCTCACGAGTCTCCCCAGTCTGCAAAAACATGAGCGCGAGTTCCAATTATTCCCTGCTGGTCACACTCAGGTTTTAAGAGAGGAGTAGTCTAATAACATTTACACCAAGATTTTCCAGCTCCAGTTGGCGAACTGTGTAGTAGGATTTCACGTCTTCTGAAACAAACGTGACTTTGAAGTTGGTGTCAAAAACTGCATCTTTTTCTTCTCTGTGTGGCCAGTACTGCGCACATTTGATCTGAGCACAAACACAAGACAAACTAAAAGGTGACTCTTTGCTAGAAATGAAAAACATACTTTTATTGGAATAAAACAAGTAATGAAATCAAATATATAGAATCCAATTACCGAGCCCTTTTCAATTACTCTGTTGAGCATCAGCACACCTCGCGACCTTTGTTCCCAAATCATTTCCCAGAAATGGCCACATGTTGTTTGAAGGGGTCCCTAAAACACAACCAACACATGACTTAGCGGATAAGTCTGTTATGTTGTGTATAACATAACACAACATCATTGTTCACACAATGATTTAAGTTTAATTTGGAGTTGTGTTGTGCATTTTCTGTCACATTAAGTTGTGCAGATCACAGCCATAGAAGTCATACAAATGTGAAGTTGGTGGCATTACCTGAGTGAGGATGTACTTCCTCTGAGCTTCCTCCACAGTTATTAAACTTGCATTGATGTAGTCATTAGCACCGAGCTGCAGGTGTATTCTGCTGTGGTCAACTGTGATAAACGGAACATTCAATCATTCATCAACAACTAAACTCCAGAGAATATCTGGCATAAATACAGAAAGTTGGTGAATATCTTTACCTAAGAACACATCTGTTTTTTGTGCTTTATCAATGCCAGTCAGTCTTATGATAATCTAAACCACTACAAACTATATCAAACTGGTGGTCGTTGAAATCATCATTGAGACCTCAGGAATGATGCAAACTTTCCTAGTTTTAAGTCTAGGCCTTTGGTCTCTTTCAGGCTAAAGAGTCACTAAAGAGACGAAACATTTCATCCACACAGGATACTGGTGTGATGATTGCGACGTCAAGAGGCCAAGAGGCTTCCATCTGTTTATTGAAAGTTCTCCACAGCTCTGTGATCGAAGGATGGCCATGGGACTTACAATTGCCTACAATGGTGTTTGGGCTTCTTATCAGTCAAATGTTTGTGAACACTCCTCCCCACCTGTGAAGCACTATTTATAAAGAAATGAAAACCATTTGAGAGTTAGTTTTTATATTATGCATGAATGAACTCCACTACCTCTCTGGGTAACAGTGCATCTTTGCTTTGTATTAGGGCTGGGCGATAAAACGATAACGATATATATCGCGATAGACATGTGTTCGATATCAATAGAGAATGGGGTCGATAGAATGTTCGATAGTTTAACTTAACTCCGTCAGGAAAAACAGGAAGAAAACACCGGAAGTAAAGCCGACTCATAAGCGCATGGCATTGTGGGGGATGTAGGCGGAGGCTTCTCGACCAATAACAGCCGAGCAGGAACCGCAAAACTTTGTGGGAAATGCAAAAACACCAACAACCGCAGCATGCGTAGCGTCCATGGATCTATAGCTCGTGTTTCAATGCCGTGTCAATGGTTATGCACGTACGTGCGCGGAATAACATGTGCGGCGGCAGAGGCAGTGGACAGACACCATGTATTCGGCAAAAGCAAGGGATTAACTTTTTCCTCGGGAAGCATGTGCGGCACAGAGAGCCGCACGGAGCGGCCACGGGGACACAAGACCCTCAAACAGCTAAACCAGGAGCTAAACCAGGAATAAAAAACCAGGATTAAACCAGGACTAACAACGAGGGACACAGTGTGAACATATTCCTCCAGCCTCATCGCCCCGTGACTGTAAACAAGGCTGCTAAGGTTGGTTAGCCCACACGACAAATATATATATTTAGGTTAAAAAAAAAAACTCAATATATATCGTTATTGACCGATATGAATGACTTATATCGTGATATAGTTTTCAGCCATATCGCCCAGCCCTACTTTGTATATACTTTTGTTTTCAAATATGGACCAAAGATAATTGAGTACTTACAAGGGCTGACGTCTCTGTAGCGGTTCCGAGTCTTGTTCTCTGGTAGCTTGGCAACTTTGCACGGCAGGTCACATGACTGCTGTCGAATATCCTACAGCAAAATATGATTTTAGACCGAGAGATCTAGGATTTACAGATTGGGAGCTACCATTATCTTACCACACCCTTCCAAGTAGCTCCCCATAGAAATTATAAATAACATTTGCACTTCATGTTTACAACTATTGCCCATCAGCACTAACTGATGGATACAAGATGTTTACAACAGTACATCTATGTCATCTATGTATCCAGAAGGCTCGATTTCAAACTCGATTTTGATAATGATACACGTTTACCAATTTCAAAACCACAGCAATTATTCATAGCAGTTCTTTTTGGACAATACACTTTTTTTACTCAAAAAAATAATGCTTTTTATGGGCCACATGGTTTTAAAGAAATGTCATATCAAATTGTGTCCTGTCTATGTAATTTTATTTACTGGTAGTATGTAATTTAATTAATATCTAGTTTTAGTATCTATTAATATTGGATTTTCTATACTTTTGACAACCCTAATCCCATTCCCATTATATTGACTATTATTCATCCTCAAAGCCCAATATGGTGTCGCTCTGCCATTTTCATCCAAAAAAAGAGACTTAAATGTAAAAAGGTTGGACACCTCTGCGTTGGACACATGGTTGATCAGTAAGGGATGAGTACTCCAGTAGCAACAATATAAAAAGGTACTAGGGGGTACTGAATAATATCAATCAACAAAATTTAGGTATGTTTGAGCTTAAACTCTAGGTATAAATCAGCATTAATACGTGGGGAGTCCTGTGGACAAGTATATAGATAGATAGATTTTCTTTCTGTGTCATTATAAACACAAATGGCAATATATAACATTAAATCAAAATAGTCAGTTATTTAACGATGTTATTTATAATCTATAAAGACCGGTCACTTTAGTTAAGTTTTCAAGTTAAGGATTGTAAACTGTTTAGTGTGAAATTAGGTTAGATTTACTAATTCTATGCGAAAACAAAGTCCTGGGACAAACGTAGGCTTGCTTCTATCAATGCTCCTACAACCAATCTTTAATCACTGGCTTGAATATGTCTGACACAGCTCATGTTAGGATAATATGAAACCATCTTTATCGTGTTAGCTTCCATGCAGTAACGTTAGAGTTGATCCGTGTGTGGGTCATACCTGATAGATTTCAGCCCAACTCCCGTTTTCATCGATATCCTGAAACTCGGCTTCCATCGCAGCGCAGTCCGAGCTGCCACTCCTTCCCCCGGGTCCAAACAAAAGCCTCTGGTTGCACAATAATGAAACTACCTCTACTTTATCCGAGGCCGTTCAATAGCTGGAAACTAATCTACCAGTAGTATTCCGTAATTCCGAGTAAGAGTTCATAGATTACCCGTGTGACCCTCTCCCTCACGGCCTGTGCTCAGCGGAAGCACGCAGAAGCTCCTCCTACGCCTAAAAGCCGCCGCACTCCTCGCGTGTCTGGAGGAAACGACCATTTGCAGTTAATGTAACATTCTCTGGTACTCGAACAGAGCCTGCTGGTATCGGGGAACAAGTCTGCTCTGGAACTTCATAGAAAAGTCACTCACCATTCGCCACGGCGTCTCTACCGGAGACAGAGCAACGCGGGCGCGCGGAGGGCATGTCGATAAGGCGTGCGTAACAGGAGCGCGCACGTTCAAACCATACACTCTAGAACAGAGGTCGGGAACCTCTCGTACTATAAAATATATTTCTGTAGGAGTCATACACATTTGTTAAACTCTCTATATATGTGATTAATAATAAAAAAAAAACTAAACTAAACTAAAAAAAAAACAACAATAGCAACACATTTAGAGTGTTGTATTTAGAGTGTGATATTAGTCTCAGAATGTATTATTTGGTTGAAGTAATTTTTTATACTGAAGAAATACAATACTTAAAACATTCTAACTAAGATCTGTTAACAATTAAGCTTCAACAGGGCCACAGCTGGCTCCTGAGCCATAGGTTCCTGAGCTCTCCTCTAGAATAACCATAGATTGTAATAATGTATAATATACATTCATAAGCCTTGTATATAAACTCCTGATATACGGCTTATGAGAAGGACATGAAGAGGCTGCAAAACAAACATTGGCTGTGCATTTGAAAGGATTTTCTCAAGGTGGAACTATCTTTGAAATGCATTACACTAAAAAAGTGTAAAACTTTTATGGCACATACCTGTTTTAACAGTGAGAAAATAAAGCAAACATGCACTAATGTAGTTAATTTCTTTAGTTTGGTGAAGGTTATGTTGTGTTATTTAGAAATAAGGAAATTATTGTTATATACCAATCACCCCTAACTACAGGAAGATGTTGTTGAGCTACAGCTATGTATTCTATCCATTCACTCCACACACAGTGATGACAGAAGTGAGAGCAAAGTCCCCAACCAACACCATCCACTGGCATATCAAAGTCCCCAACCAACACCATCCACTGGCATATCAAAGTCCCCAACCAACACCATCCCTTCACTTGCTCATTACATTCAATACCATTCAATATTTGGTAGGGGGTATGGAGCACCCGGAGGAAACTTACGTAGACACAGGGAGAACATACAAATCACGCAGTAGATTTAAACAGTTTTATAAATTAACTAATTATAACCCAGGCAACAACATTGTAATCAAAGCATTGTTTGTGATAGATTCATTGTAATAACCAGATTAATCGTAGTACCCGTTTATTCATCTTCATTTTTTTATTTCATGAAACTACCATAGAACTCCACAAGTCTGAACGAAAACGTCTGGTCATAATAAAAACAAAAATAAATTTAAATTGTGCTGCTGTATTTCTATTCGCCCAGACGGTGGCAGCACTGCTCTGTTCAAATACACCGCAGAGGAAGCGCTTCCGCCTGCTCTGTTTATGTGATGTTGTCAACGACGTTTCCCATGCAAGTGCACACGTTTGGGAGCAGAAAGATGGCTCAACATTAGATTGTAAAATAATAAATATCCACGGGATTGACAGAGAAACCCTCGGTCACTCGTGCCAACAAGATGTGCCTGTAGATTTGGCTTTATGAAAGGAGAAGAGAAAGGGCTATTGCTAATGCACTAGTTTGCACAGACCTCACAGATCGCCTTTAGCTTTTGAAACAGCCTTACAAAAGGACTGACAGGTATTCGACCTCATGGCAAGTTGTTTTGTTCTCTGTGGCTTCGTGGTTTGTCCTCTTTCCTCTGCTTTCCCTAAGAGCTAACTCTGGCTAGTGCTAACCATCCCTGTGTTGAACCGTTTTGTTTGTTGTTGTTGTTGTTAGCTGACTGCTGGCTAATGTGTAGCTATAATTATTGCCTCCCAGTGGTGGACAAAGTGTTCAAATCCTTAAACGGTAAGTTGTACTGGCTTAAGAAATTGTATATTCAAAGACACAAAATATCTATGTGGTTGCATGTGTGTGTATGTGTGAATGCTCATTATGTCATGAGTTGAGAGAAATACACATTCTGCAAAAGTTATGCTGTTATTTGTTGAATTTATGTTGCATTGAGCTGTTTTTGACTGAGAGAATGTAGTTATTATTTCTGAATATGTTATACAAACCATTTTTGTATCCATAGTCCCTGGACAGAGAATCACCCCTAAATATGACAGGTTAATTGCATTTACTCACAATATTATTTACATTTTTAATGTGAAGACATATTTGGGCAACTGATTTGGTGTTGGTGGAAATGTTCATTTATCCAAGAATGATCCATGGTGGAAAAGGTTTAAAATGAGTCACGTTAACAATGTCTTTTGAAAACATATTTTTATAGATGGATGTAAATTAACTACATGTTTTGCACTTTGTCATTTATAGATAATTACATTTATAAACTCTTGGCTTGAAACCTTTTCTACTATAGGCATTGTCATTCAGTTCCTCCTAAACAGTTATTGTTTATATTCATTTGTTTGCTGCAATATGGTCGGGAATTCCTTCATCCCATCCTTTACCTATTAGCCCCATTTCCACCAGCCCTACTTGAAACTGCTCTGCTTTACTCTACTCAGCCCTACTCCACCTGGTTGCAATCTCCATTATGCTTTATCTGCAAGCGTATCCCTACCCACAACAAACCCGTATCTGGGGAAATCTCTTGGAAACCATGACTTTCAGCAGCACTCTAGCCAATCACTGTCAGTTAGATCACTTTAGTACCAGCTTGGCCAAGAGGGTATTAAGAAAGTATGTGGTACAGGTTAAACAGGGCTGGTGCAAACCCTTCCAATCTGGGTAGAGTAGGTTAGGGATGGTGGAAATGGGGCTGTACCTACCTTGGATCCTTTAAACAATTCCAAGCCTTATTTATGACAAGTATGACATACATTTTCCTTTACATATTGATAGATTCTCTGAGCGGTCTGCGATCTTTGGGAAACGGTCAAAACAACATGGCCCCCAAAGACATTATGACGAATTCCCACGCTAAGTCCATCCTGAACGCCATGAACGCCCTCCGGAAGAGTAACACGCTCTGCGACATCACTCTGCGGGTCGAGAGCGCAGACTTCCCCGCTCACCGCATTGTGCTGGCCGCCTGCAGTGACTACTTCTGTGCCATGTTCACGAGTGAGGTACTGCTGTTTACGATGGAAGTCATGCATTTGTCATCCACAGCAATTGGTCAACTCATGACCACTCAACTTGTAAAATCAGTCATATGTTTTGAAAATATTTGTCAGCCAGACTTTAGACTCTAAAACACGTCAATAAACTTCTATTACAAGACGGCAACATTTATTATATCAAAAAGGAAACCCACCTTCTCCACCGACTCCCACTGATGACTGCTGTCGTTGTGTCCTTGGGCAAGACACTTAACCCCACTTTGCCCAAAGCCCCCACTGAAAGATCAAGGCTATGCTCACACTCAGAGAGCAGCCGTCCTCCTGTGGACTCACCACCTGCAGAGGGTCAGTGAGGGGCTGGTGCTATGAGACTTGGGTGGCATCTCTGACTGCCACCCCCCTGACCCAGAAATGGATTAAAGGGAAGAAAATGGATGGATGGATGGAAAAAGGAAACAAAGACATCCCAATCTTTTGAATCTTTTACATTTAGTTTCTTTAATTGCCACTTTTTATTGTACATAATATATCCTGCACAGACTATTTTTAGCCTTTTGCCTTTAACAAGTTTGCACACTTCTTTCTTTTGCACAAATCTTGAGTGATTCTATCAATGCCAGAAGAAGGAAATCTCTCCTTTTTGGCCCATTGTTCTTATTTATTTCTGGGGAATGAGTCTTTCTATTTTGAGGCCTTGACATCCTTAATTAAGCAGGCAAACCATGGGCGCCTCCAATTAGTCTTTTTCTTACTATAATATATTTTGCATAATTTGTATACAAATTAATTAATGGACATTAAAGGTGCATTATGCAACTTTGGGGGCGACAGTAGCTCAGTTGGTAGAGCATTGGCCTTAAGGCCAGAAGGTCGTGGGTTCAATTCCCACCTCTGCACCTTCTCCACCGACTCCCACTGATGACTGCTGTCGTTGTGTCCTTGGGCAAGACAATTAACCCCACTTTGCCCAAAGCCCCCACTGAAAGATCAAGGCTATGCTCACAGTCAGAGAGCAGCCGTCCTCCTGTGGACTCACCACCTGCAGAGGGTCAGTGAGGGGCTGGTGCTATGAGACTTGGGTGGCATCTCTGACTGCCACCCCCCTGACCCAGAAATGGATTAAAGGGTAGAAAATGGATGGATATGCAACTTTTATGAGAAAAAAGACAACTCTTTTTATGACATCTTACAGACCCAGTGGCTGTATGAGTCTGCAACATGGCGCCTTTACTTTCCATCACAGTTGTCCCAAGGATGCAATAAGATCAATTGTTTGGAAGGTTTGTCTGCTGTGGGACCTAACATAACAATGGATCCTGGCGCACTGTAGACACAACCGTGATAAAAAGTTACACCAGCTCTCTACAAAGTCAAACGAGCAAAAATGATACAAACTTTTTTTTCACATATAAAGTTGCAAAGTGCAGCTTTAAGTCATTTTACAATTAATTCTGAATATCTAGTTTGTATTTGAGTCACTGGTAAACTGACGCTGGGCATCATGGCATCCTTATTTGCATGTTACACTATATTTCTCCTGTGTGTGTGTGTTTTATAGCTGGCCGAGAAGGGGAAGTCTTTTGTGGACATCCAGGGCCTTACCGCGTCCACCATGGAAATCTTGCTGGACTTTGTTTACACAGAGACGGTGCTGGTGACTGTGGAGAATGTTCAAGAGCTGCTGCCAGCCGCATGTCTGCTGCAGCTCAAAGGTGTGTCTGCAAAAGTAAAACAAACAAAGTAAAACAGACAATGGACAATGCTTTTAACCACCATTGTTGTCTCAATATTTTTTACCACTTATGAATTAAATATTTGGTTACTAATATACATTGGCTCGCAAAAGTACTGATACGACTTGAACGTTCTGCCTTTCTTTCTTTCTTTTTTTTACCATTCCATTACTGTCCTGCTGGAAGGTAAATCTCTGTCTCTGCAAGATGTTTTTCCATATTTGTTTTACAATCTTCTCTGTACTTTCTGAAGAACAGTGTTCGGTTCTGACTAAAGCACCTTCTTCCACACTTTGAGCTTTGTCCCTAAAATGACTTTTGGCAAACAGGATTTCTTATGGTTTTCTTTCAATAATGGCTTTCTTCTCTCCAATCGTATAGAGTATTGTATAGTTAACCCCTGTTTGCATTTCTAATTCGAGCTCTCTTTGTTTGGCTTGTCATTTTAGGTGGACGTCTGTGTCTTGCTAAGTTTTCAGTGGTACCACACTAGATGAGAGATACTTTATTCGTCCCACAGTGGGGAAATTTCAATGTTGCAGCGCACATACAGGACAGTAGTAAGAGCAAACAAAATGTACAAAAATAGCTGCTGTGTTTCTTAGTTAGCTTCAATATCAATATTTCAGAAAAAGCTATATATATATTCTGAAGTTGCAGTATTGCACATTACTCTCAAATAATTTAATGAAAAATGACTTTGTGAGATGTTCAAAACCTGGGAAATCTTTGTTTTCAATAATGGACCACTCCTTTAAACCTCACCACAACTTTATCCCTGGATTCTCTGGTGTGCTCCTTGAACTTCCTGAGGCTGAGTAGTAGTTTAGTGACCAAATACGCTCTTCAGATAGCTCTAAATCCATCACTGAACAGCTGCTATTATACTCTATTGAATAATTTTTGGTCGGGGAACGTGGAGAGCATCCAGCAGTCATTAGGAGGTCAATGGATAGATAGATAAAATAAAGTATCCATCTATAAATTATAAACATTTCGAATTAACTAAAATGTCTAAATGAGCGCAGTGATATAAGCCTGTTGCTACGATTATAGGATCTGGCAATGAAATATGGCAGTGATTTAAAACTGTGATGAAATGTGTTGTTGGACAAATTGAACACTGGGTGTGGAGAGTTAATAAAAGGCTTTTGTTGTGTGTTAGGTGTGAAAAGAGCGTGCTGTGACTTCCTGGAGAGTCAGCTGGACCCATCGAACTGCCTGGGCATCAGAGACTTCGCAGAAACCCACAACTGCCTGGAGCTGATGCAGGCGGCCGAGCTCTTCTCCCAAAAACATTTCTCTGAAGTGGTGCAGCACGAGGAGTTCATGTTGCTCAGTCAGAACGAGGTCGAGAAGCTCATCAAATGTGACGAGATTCAGGTAAGTTTTTAAGACTAAGATTAGTCCCATAGTTGCATCACCAGTTACAGAACAGTATAAATGAGGAGCACACAGAACAAGATAAGTGAACAATAACTCTAACGAACTATACTAAAATGAAATAAATTAAGATATATTTAGCATAAAAAATAAGTATAAAATGTCTAGTTTTAGCAAATCTTAGATCTCCAACTTTAATAATGAAGAATGAAGCACAAAAAGAAGAGAAGAAAATGAGTCATGGGTTTATTGCTTCAACTGTTATTATTGTGCTCATGGATAAACCTATTCTTATCAAAAGGCCCATTCATTTATTATGTTTTCCTGTTATGGCCCATCTGAAGGGATTCTGTCTAGACTAGACTAGATTATGTCAAACCCACAAAGCCATGTCTGTCGAATACATAAACTCTATGTCGCTTTTGCCTTGTTGCTGTAATAATAATAATAATAATACATGTAGGACTGCAGTATTGGGCATTTTCTCTGTAATGTCCAGAAAATTATAATTACTGAATTACCACGGTAAAATATGTGTTGTCATTGAGTTCTAAAGAATCTTATCTGTAAAATTGGAGATGAAAAACATTAAATGTATCAAACAATGGCTCACTATCTCACTGTACATTTACATGAGTTTGAGTTTATTCCATGCACTAAAGTGCCCAGCCCAACATCTGATGGCTGTATGTAGACCACATACATACATGACTAACAGAAAACAATTTACAGTAAGCATCTCGTACAGAATCTGTTGTCTCCTCTCCCAGGCTTTAGCAACAAAAGAAGCAAAAGCAAAAACTTCATTGTGATACATCCATTTCATAATTTCACCCTCAGGCCACCAAAAGACCTCTGGATTAGAAGCATTTATTCTTTCATATGAAATGTTTCCATTCTCAAAGTAAAGTGGTCCTCAGCTGGGCTGACGGAGACTGCTGCCTTCTGGGTACATTTAACTGTATGTAGAGTTCTGTGTGTTTAAAATGATAATGTCTTATCTTAGGTTTCCAGCAAACGTCAAGTTTCCATTGTGCCTTAAACTCTTAAATCACACTTTAGTTTATTTATACAAAAATAATTCAAATTATCGAACTTCCGCCATTTCTGTAGATCCAGGGGTAATGTTTGAACAATTCCAAATAAAAATCTTTTTTGTGAGCCTGTGATTGGGCAGCTGGATGAGGCCATTCCACAAACGCACCATCCCTCTGCCTAATGAGACACGGCTCCCCTCCCTCTTCTTCCTGTGTCACTGATATTGGGGTGAATTTATGCACTCCCCAAAATGTTCTTATGCTCTATTCTGGAGAGCATCAATATGAGCTATAAGCTATTAGATGTTTCTGTAACCATTTCTCACTTAAATTACTATTATTACTTAACCTTTCATTCATAAAAGTGACTGAGGTTTACAGTGTGCAAAGAATTATTATGATTTATAACACAGGTGAAATGTGCTGTAGTTAATCTTATTAGAAAAACATGTGTGATCTAAAGATGTGACAGAGGTCAAAAAATCCATGCATGTGATTTGACTAGAATAAAACTGTGAGGTAAGAACTGATTGATATTACTACATTATTGTGGTTTGAAAATCGGGTACCCCAGCTTTATGTTCAAGTCAAAGAACAGTGTGCATTGTTTTACACAGCCTTTTCCAACTACAAAAAAGGAATGTTATTTTCTTCAGCATTTCTTTTTGACATTTGTTTGCAACTGTGAAATACTTCTGGATCAGAGACAACGTATGGGTGTAGATTTTAGTCGACTGTCTTGAGGCCAGAACTGTTAGATGAAGTTTATTTTGTCCGATCCATTCAGTCATATAATCAATGTATGAGCTAGATCATATTTAAAATATAAATATAAAATTCTAAATACATTTTTAACCGTTATCTTACAATGACTATTATTTAAAGTGTATAACAAACTTTACAATTTTTACATATTTCAAATCAACGCATACCTTGTTCCCTCTATCAACTGTAGCTAAACTTTGTTGTCGGTACTTTTATACCGTAATAACTCTTTGTTTCTCTTTAGACCATAGATGAGACTGTATCTGTTTGTAACGTCTTTTTTGTCTGATGTAGCACAAGCTAAATAAAAACAAATTCTATCAAAAATAACAAAAGCTCTAATCAACCTTTACAATGGGTAAATGGTCAAACTTTCAATTTTCCATTTTTCTGCATAGTGGTAGAAACAAGTACAAACCTGCGCTTATATATTGCAGTACAGTCATCTCTGGTTTGAACAGACGAAGGAGAAATCAGGTCCAAGTTGTGCCTTGTGTTGTTTGATAAGTAGTTATTAACCTTTCCAGCCCTTTCTAGACCTTCACTTAACACACCATCTTCCTTTCATTATTACATAAATTAGAGCATACACACATACATCAAAGTTACACATATGAGAATGTAGTATTGCAGTTTTTTTTAAAAGCCTGCCCATAAAATTACCTCAGATAACTTTTAAGGTGCCCTGAATACCCTTTATGCATGAGGGAGCGCCACCTGACCAAAAAAAAAGCTAATTACTTTAATGTCGTTAGTTATTATTATTCTTTGTTTCAGACTCAAATTGAATTGGTCCATATTTTAAAATAATAGAAATAAGTGCAATATAGGGCTGGTCGATATGGCAAAAAAGTAAAATCTCGATTTTACTTCCGGCTTTGGACGATTTCGATTTTGAATCGATTTTCATTAAAGTCACCGAAGACAGACTTTGCCCTTAAAAATATGTTTTGATATTTCCGCTCAATATTCAAGTTTCATAGCTATTTTTAATTTGTTTCCCCAATACGTATTATAAAAGTCTTGTACAGACTGTGCTGATATTGCAAGTATAATTCTTGTGCTGCTGGAACTCTCACAATATCCTTCACTCGATTTCACAATTTTCACATTTTTCACAAATTCAATTTTTTCAAAAGCCGATTAATTGCCTAAATTTGATTTATTGCCCAGCCCTAGTGCAATACATTATATAGTCATTCCTAGGCTTGAGTTAACAAAGGCTATAGTTGGCTATAGTCAAAGTAATAGTTGCAGTGGTGAGGGCTGTTCCATAGACCTTACTTTTATGTTGTTTTTGTTTAGAGAATTAAAGTTTTATTGCCATATTGTGCAACATTCCAAGAAAAACCAAACCTGACATTTGTTTGCATTTACGACTAGATTTACAGCCCCAAAAGTCGGCATGTGTTTTGACAGACATCTATAGTACATTGCAAAGTAAACTGAATATGCTGTTTTGTAAAATCAGAATTAATATAGCTAGAGCATCTGATTTGGACGCGCTGCCAAAATCAGATGCTAAACCAGACTAAACTTAGTCTGGTTTAGTCTGATTTAAACCAGACTAAGTCGTCCATTGATCACACTAATCATGTATTTAATTTAAGGCTTTAGACCATTTTATTTTTCAGATAGAGATATAAAGCGTTGACTGACTGCCGCAGTGGATTGCCAATTGTATTTTAAAACATGGCTTGATGATGTATGTGTTTGTAGGTGGACTCGGAGGAGCCGGTGTTCGAAGCCGTCTTAAACTGGGTGAAACACAACAGAAAAGAGCGAGAGCCGTATTTGTCGGAAATGCTGGAGTTCGTACGGATGCCTCTGCTCACGCCGCGATACATCACAGACGTCATAGATGCAGAGGTGAGACTCCTACAGACCAACTGTTCGACTTGGAGATGGGATATCACAAAAAATGACCTGACTAGTTCATCACTTTCAAAGCTTCTCAATCACTACGACAAGAGAAGCCTTTAGTCGTCCCTCAGTGAATGTCATGGTTGCAGAATACAGTAATCAAGTATTACATGCAGGCTTCGGTCACATGATCAGCTCCCGGCCCACATTGGAAGTCCTGTGTTAATCTTGGGTCAATTCTTGGTTAGTTGTTTAATTCTGGGTGATTGATGAGTTTCATCTTGTTGCTACTACTCCATACTACTACTAATACTACCATAAGCTGACAATGTTTCCTTTTTAAATTGAAATGACAGTCTCACTTTAACGTTGCACAAACATCACATATCATCTGTAAAGTAGTTTGGTTTATGTTCTTGCCACATTCATTCTAACATCCATAATTCCTGATATCTGAGAACACACCATGTTCTGCTGAAATTGCCTGTTGCTGTGTATCGCGTAATTAAGCAGGTTCTGGCCTGTTGCAGCCCCTCATCCGTGGCAGCCTGCCGTGTCGAGACCTCGTCGATGAAGCCAAAAAATTCCACCTCAGACCCGAGCTGAGGAGCGAGATGCAAGGCCCACGAACACAAGCCCGGCTAGGTACGGATACGTATGGATGTATTTGATCTGATACACTAGATTAAAGAAATATGACACATTATTTTTGATAATGAGACTACTTTCTTTCATTTCATGTTTTAGAATGTGTGATAATATTATTGTTAGATTATATATGGTATATAATTTTTTTTTTTCAATATATATTTCCTTTTGTAAATAAAAATGGATAATAATCCTATAAAGCTGGACTACCTAACCTTTTCTTTATGGATAATACATGTAAAAGTAAAATGTTGTGAAATTAGACCACACCGTGCTGGCCAATAATATACATGTGAAAACATGCCGACAGAACCGAGCTGTTTTGAGAGAGAGGAACTAGTCCTGGGTGGTATTCATATCTGGGAAGCAACAAAGTGGATGTTTTAAATAAAATGTGTTTTAACAAATAAGAATTTCATTTTCTAACAGGCGCCAAGGAAGTTTTGCTCGTCATTGGAGGATTCGGCAGTCAGCAGTCGCCGATAGATGTTGTTGAAAAATATGATCCTAAAACTCAAGAGTGGAGCTTTCTTCCAGTAAGCCAATGTCACTGCGAACCACTTTTTGTTGTGAAAATATTAAACAATTCTCTGCTTTCCTCTTGGTAGAACATAGCACGGAAAAGGCGTTACGTAGCCACAGTGTCTCTCCACGACAGAGTGTATGTGATCGGGGGGTATGACGGGCGCTCGCGGCTCAGCTCTGTGGAGTGTTTGGATTACACGGCTGATGAGGACGGCGTCTGGTACACTGTCGCCACTATGAACGTGCGGCGAGGCCTGGCCGGAGCTACCACACTCGGAGGTGACCCATCTCACTGTACACACACACATACAACAATACACAATTGTGATGTTTATTTTCAAAATTTTAGAGATTCCCCCCACCCCCCCCCCCCCTCATTGTTGTGTGAAGCTGTTGTCGCCAAAATAATGAAATGTATAGCTGGGTGTGTAGACTTTCAAGCTCAACTGTATATTTGTTGAGAATGAAAAAGCCTAAGTAGTAAAAGTTCAAGGCTAAACCAAGCCCAAGCTTAAAGGACCCATATTTTAGAAAATATGTGAATAGTGAATAGTATGTATGAGCTCAACCAGGGACAATAGTTGACCCGCAAATAAATTATCTTGGCCTACTAATCTTTTGATTAGTATTTGAACCGACCCGCATACACCCATGCCTTTTGTGTTTTCAGTTGAAATTACAGACAGAGCCATACAAAAATAATGGATTATTAATCTACTCAATACACACTACACAATACGGTACACTGTGTTTGGTCTTGGTTCAATAGGTTACATGCAAACGTTTTAATATGTTTTAATAAACATTGAATCCGGCCCTCGGATGTATTTGACTTTGACATCCCTGCTCTATACTAAATGTAAAAAGTTAATTTTGTCTTCTTATGTTTAAGGCTTTGAAGGTTCTTATAATAAGACGGCGGCAGTAGCTCAGTTGGTAGAGCGTTGCCTTTGAGCCAGAAGGTCGCGGGTTCAAGCCTCGCTCAAGACTTGCACCATCGACTCCCACTGACTACTGTCATTGCCTAGAATGAGTCTGGTGTGTGTATGAATGAGTCTGGTGTGTGTATGAATGAGTCTGGTGTGTGTATGAATGAGTCTGGTGCGTGTATGAATGGTTGGTGGTGTTCGGAGGGGCCGATGGCGCATACTGGTTGCCTCACTTCTGTCAGTGTGCCCCAAGGCAGCTGTTGCTACAGTACAGTAGTAGTTTATCACCACCGTGTATGGACGCTTCACACATGTGAAGCGTCTTTGAGTGTCCAAAAAAGCGCTATATAAAACCGATGCATTATTATTAGTATAAGACAAGAAAGTAAAGAAAGCTAGTACTGCTTAATTACCTGACATGTTTCTGCTCTAAACTGTTTGCATTGCATTAGTTGCATTCTCTGATGTACCAATAACGACTGCATTATCCCTGTCGAAAAAAGGGGTAAACCTTGGCATAGAAACATTTGAGCTGATCAGAACTTCATTGACTCTTTTTAGGAGATAATGTAGTTGCTGTCTGGTATTAGTTTTTACTAATACTATACAGTATTCTAATATGTCGCTAATACTCTGAAGATGTCCCCTGATATAATTTGTGATGTGTGTGCAGATATGATCTATGTGGCGGGGGGCTTTGATGGCAGTCGCCGGCACACCAGTATGGAGCGTTATGATCCAAACATAGACCAGTGGAGCATGCTGGGAGACATGCAGACTGCCAGAGAGGGGGCGGGGCTTGTCGTGGCCAGTGGACTCATATACTGCCTTGGTGAATATTTGTATGATTTTTATTTAATTTACTGTAAAATTTTCTCAAGCATAATAATTGCAGACATGTTGCTTCAGGATATTCTTATATTGCTTCTAACTGAATCACCTGAAGTAGGTTCCGCCATATTCAGTGCCTTACAAAAGTGTCTGGGGACATTTGGTCATGTTATAGCCACAAACATAACGATTGGATTTAGATTATTATTATTTTTTTTTTCAAATACCACAATGAAGTGAAAGATTCAAAGTGAAAGCAAAATGATACATGATCTAAAATCTAAAATTGAAAAGCATAAGTGACAGCATTAGTTAATACTATGTGGAATAACAAGCTCCAGCTGCTTTTTTTCCAATAATGTTGTGTATTTTTCTCCATGCACTTTCCTATCAACTCTGGCACTCTTCCCTGTCCCCGGTGATGAAAAGCAGCCCTATAACATGATGCTGCCCCCCACATATTTGATATTTGGGAGGATGCACTGAGGATGATTAGTGTTGGGGTGTATTCAGACCAGAAAAGTCCTTTGGTCCGCTTGCTTGCTCCAAATCAAAAGCGGACCAAACTGTTTTCTTTTGCTCCGGTTTGTATTCAGACTGTACTTTTTGCAAGTGTACTTTTTTTATAAACATATCGACGCATGTGACGATCAGCGCTCCTATTGGACAGCAAGAGCTCACGGAGATTAGATGCGGAACCGGAAGAAAACATTGAGCTCGTAAATGTGCAGCATGTCTGCTCTGCCTATGTTTGCTCTTTTTAGAGCAAAACCACCTTCAACATAAACAGCAGCAGCTCATTAGACACAGGCGAAACGCATTGTTTTAAATATTGGAACAGCGTCGGCGAATGCGTGAGGAGAAAGCCGAAGGAGACTGCGCTACGTGCCCTGTCCATGGATCTATAATAATAACGGGATAAACAGACGACGTAGGATCAGGTATGAACCAAAGAACACAATTCACTACATGATGCGGGACATTGCTCTTTGAGACGTGAGTCAAACAGCGTCAGGCTTTTAATAATGCAAATGATTTGAAGATGCTGCCATTAACATCACTGTATACTGTGAAAAGTTTTAACTCCATAAGCCTGTTGCACAGTGTCTGCTTGTTGCTCCAGTTCTGCCCACAGCTCATTGTTGTTGTGTAGCGTTAGCAGAATAGTTAGCAGCTGTGACGCGTGGCTAATTCCTCACAGTTTCTGTCTGCGGCTTGTTAAGCCCAAAAAATGCGCACGTATCTTGGAGTTGTGTCGGATCGACACCGGATGTATTCAGACCTGAATCGTCTCGGACCAGAATTCGTTTGGAAGCGGACCGAGACCACCTTAAAAAGTGCTCCATAACATTGATACATTACACTTTGCACTTTGTCTAAAGAGTGTAATTTTGTCTGTCTGGCCATATTTGTGTGTTGCATGATAAATAGTTGCCCCACGTACAGTTTCCCCCAGGTTTGTTGCAGTTATACCATATTCTTTCCCATGATCTGTGGGATGTTGAAATCACGGCAAATGTCTGTATAACCAATATAAATATTTACAGTCTATGGTATAACCCAGGGGCGGCTCACTGGTCAGACACTGAGAGCCACAACCTCCAGCTTTCATTCTGTGAAGAGCCACACTGTCTACAGCCCGCTAGCTTTCAGACTTGGATGACCAAAACCACCTCTTTTGAATTTTATTTTGTCTATAAGAAAAAGGGATACAGAGTGTCTTTTTAAATTATTATTATAAGTATTTATTTTATTTTAAATGTTTAGATTTAAAACACATTCAAAAACTCAGAGGCTTGATTTGTTGCTTTTACTTACTTATTATTCTTTATGTGTCTGCTCCCTTTATATGGAACTTTGGACCCTGAAATCTTTATCTCAGATCTGTCTCTGGCATCAGCAGCAGAGTGGACCTCGCACATGTACCTATGATGCCGAATTACTCCCTTTTAATTACTTCTGTTTGTAGAGGAGCACAAACTTTACATCAGTCCATTTCCTTTGACAGTCACGGTCCCACAGAAGAACGGTGCCATACCATAAGTCTTGGTCTAAGTCTAAGGCCCAGGTTAAACAAGTTAAACCAGCTGTGCTCCAGGCAAGTTTTATAAACATCTCAAAAATCCGTGGAAACGGGTTATTTTGAGTATATACTGTAAGTATAACATGCAAAATCTCTAAAATATGTTTGTACACACACACACTCTTAGATTGTCGACAAATCTAAAAGATTGATTTGACAAAATTATAAATTCATACATTTTGGAAAAAGGCTGTAGCTTTTTAAATGTTGAAAAAGTGGAGGTCGAATACTTCTACACTTTAAAAATGTAATGCACTCAAAGAATTGCTATCTGGTCAGTCAACAAAATCGTGTACTTCACAATTGTCTGTCACTTTCTTTTGGTCTTTCGGTAAAAAATTCCAAATCTTTATGCGTGTGGTTGTAACACAAGATGTGCATGAGTTCAAGCCCATACAGGATATTTGCATTTATAAAGGTAACTTGTCCCAAACACATTGAGTTTACTTCCTGCTGTGTATTCATTCTTATCATCCATCCATCCATCCATTTTCTTCCCCTTAATCCATTTCTGGGTCGGGGGGGTGGCCAGAGATGCCACCCAGAACACATAGCACCAGCCCCTCACTGATCCTCCTGCAGGTGGTGAGTCCACAGGAGCTGAGATCTTTCAGTGGAAGCTTCAGGCAAAGTGGGGTTAAGTGTTTTGCCTAAGGACACAACGACAGCAGTCATCAGTGGGAGTCATGAAGTAGGTCTTACGGTGGGCTCGAACCCACGACCTTCAGGCTCAAAGGCCAATGCTCTACCAACTGAGCTACTGTCGCCCCCCAATTCTTATCATTGTAAATGTAATTCATTATTTATGCACTAGAGTGTCCAAAGTTCATGAATTATCACAAAACTTGCATTTTTACTTCATGTTTATACATAGAAGTGCTAGGGCCTAGTGTAGTTGCTGCTATACAGAGTTTTAGAATCACAGCTGTCCTGGGGCTGATCCAGTATAGATGTATGACTATATATCTTAACACATTTACAGCACATTCAGTCCTTATGCTAGCATGGTTTATTTTATTCCGAAACACAAGTTTACCAGCAATAGCAGCTTTGTACAGTCTCAAATACATGCATGTATATTTATCTGTGTTGTAAATATTATCGGATACTTGTGCTGTTGCACTTTTGGCTAGGTGCTAAACTACATTTTGTGGCATTGTCCTGATATCGTAATTACAATCAATTTGAATCTGATCTAATCAAAACATGTTATTACTTTCCACCAGGGGGTTACGATGGTCTGAATATTTTGAACTCCGTAGAGCGATACGACCCTCACACAGGACACTGGACAAGTGTGACACCAATGGCCACCAAGCGATCAGGTGAGCTCATTCAGTTATTCACGTATTCTGATACATGATGGAGATCTGTTGGATGACATTGAGTGGTGTTGTAGGGGCAGGAGTGGCTTTACTTAATGACCACATCTATGTGGTTGGAGGCTTTGACGGCGTGTCCCACCTGGACTCTGTGGAGGTCTATAACATCAGGACAGATTATTGGACGACGGTGGCCAGTATGACCACTCCTCGCTGCTACGTTGGAGCCACAGTCCTACGTGGACGTCTCTACGCGATTGCCGGGTGAGACGGCATTCTGACCATGTTTTTAGGAATGAAGCAACTACCTCATTCTTTACTTTTTGGCCGATCCTTCTTATTTTATAGATTTTTTGTGGTATTAAAACATTTTTAAAAGGTATTGTATTTCACTTGACCAAACCTGGAGCTACCTTGTCTTGTAAAAAGTTAATCTCATAAAAGGTACATTCTAAAGTGCACAGAAGGACGAGGACAGTAAAGGAACCAGGTATTGTTGCTGAATTCGGACCCAGCCCATGCTTAACAATTTGCCAATAAAGTGCATTTTTTAGTATAATACTTCTGTATCTCATTTCCAGTTAAACCCTGCTTCTCTTTTCTACAGATATGATGGAAACTCGCTCCTCAGCAGTATTGAATGTTATGACCCAGTGATCGACTCTTGGGAGGTGGTGACCTCCATGGCCACACAGCGATGTGATGCAGGCGTCTGTGTGCTACGAGAGAAGTGAACTATTTCAGACTGTGCTTAATGTAAAACCACTCTATTAGTGCCACACGCAGCTGTTGGATTATGCAAAAGGACTTGGAATAACAGGGTTGTGGACTCTGAAGACTGAGCTCTGCCGCAGGAGATGTAAAAGAGGCCTTCAGGCGCCCATTGCCACATGCATGACTCTGGTCAGTGGTACATGTTGCTGTCATTACCTGTGAGATTATTTTTTCATTTTGTCATCAAAGTGCAATATATTTCTACTTAAAGAAACAGGAATGCACTGAAGCACTGGTACTCGCTGCTCTGGTCTTTGACTTTGGCATTTGTCACAGTCCACTTTCATGTTGCAAATATGGCCCTAAAGCCAGAGATGTTGCAGTGGATGGGTCATCTGAGCTTTTTAGAGTACTACTAATGTATATCCAGATGTTTTAAAACAAATCACTATTTTACAACTGTACCGCTTAAATGTAGACATTAGTAACTATTGTCTGGCGGAAAGAAGAAGTTCAAGGTCCTTTTCTCAGATCACTTATTAATTATATATATTAATTTTATTATTGTCAGAACCATGACTGTAGAAATAAATACATTTTACGTACAAACTGTGGTGCGTATCATTGACATAATGGATGTGTGTATAGATTATTATGTCATGATCATAATGAGCCTAAATTCAGCTGAAGATGCAAATAGTTTTGAATGTCCTTAAGACCAAGAATGTTCCCAAAGCTTTAAAAATCTACTTTTACAGTGCAATGTGATGCAAGAACAGGTTGCGCAGAGGGGACAGTTTGTAGGGGCCCCTGTGACCCGACAGATCATTCTTGATGCGAAACCCGATGTACTGACACCTTTAACAGTGCTGCATATATCTGCTGACATTGAAAGACATGGTGAGTGTTGTTTTATTAATAATGATCTATTTGGATGGCTGATTTATCGTCCTGCGAATTTATTCTTGCTCCTTTTAGCCTGGAGCTACTTCACTCGCCTTCACATAAACCATTTAAAAACAACAACTATAACAGGCATTAATTGATTACTATAAGGGCAGTTTCACAAAGGGCAGTGGGAATACTCTTTGTCAAATGGAACTAAAAATGGCGTCACAGAATTCAAAGTAATTTCACAAACCTATAGCCTGCGAACGCCATCTTCCAGTACAAAATGGACAAAATGGAAAGGGGGTTCGATGAAGCAGATGCAAATATTGCCTTCTTCTAAAATATTTGTGTACACCTTAAATTGCATGTGGTTTGAATAAGCCCTCTGCAAAGAATACATATTTTGTATTTGATGCCTTGCTAACCTAGCCTGGCCGTACCACACCATGGTACAAAGGCCAGGCTATTGCTAACCCAAAGTACCATTGGTATTATAAAATAAAAGATACTTTATTGATCCCCTTAGGAAAATCTCAGGTGTCCAGCAGCAGAAACAAATCCAAATATACCAGTGAATGAATACATAATTATGAAAGTTACTAACAATAGTAATAAAGTGCAATAGCGCTTAGGTCACAGCCACAGAGGTGGAACAGGTGATGAGCTGCTTCCTATCCTCTGCTCTGAATTTACACTTGATCTGCTTGGTTCGGACCGTGACCTCTCTCCTTTGGTCTAGTTCAGAGTAAAACCATGAACACAGTTCTGCAGCAAAATGGACAGCTTGAAAAAGAAAAAAAAAAGAAAGATTATTTTTTTAAATTATTGTAAACAACAGTTTCAGAGCTACCAGGACTTGCTGCCGTTTCCAGTTAGTCCAAAGTTCACTGAGTCACCCAGCCAACTTCAGCTCTGCCAAAGGATGTTGATGAGAAAGTAAACATAAAGCCAACTTCAACTCACACTAATGTGTTGCAATATTTCCTTTTTTTTTACATCTCAGAATTGGCCGATTCCAGTCAAAATAGTTTTACAGTCCGTGTTGTCAGCCCCTGGACAATATTGGTGAACTATTGTGGCCCTCTTACTACAATGTTTGGATCTGGGGATGCTCCAGGACATGCATTAGTAAGTAAGTAGTATATTAATACATAGCCGATTAATTTGCTTAAGTCCCTGCTTGTCTTTTGTAGCCAATGACTATTTTAATTGAGTCTCTCTTTTAATTATTAAATCCACATCTTCCTCTACGCTACAATCCTCTTTGTGCTGTACAAACTAAGCAGATGTGACGTTCGCTCCCACAGAGTGAGTGTTTTGCCATCCACGTGGGGCAGGCCGGGGGGCAGATGGGAAATGCATGCTGGGAGCTGCTCTGTCTGAAGCATGGCATTGAGCCTGATGGGACATTTGCAGACACCAACAGACCCGTGAACTCACAGGAGCCCTTCAACATCTTCTTTGAAAGGGGCAGCTCTGGAAGCAATGTTGCCCGGGCTTTGTTTTCAAAGTGTGAGAGCCAAAATAATACTTTGGGTTTTCAAGTATTACCATATTTTAATGTTTGGAACCTCCATTATTAGAATAGTTCAGTTTTAAGCCTCATAAAAATATTTCATTGATATAGAGTAGGGCTAAAGTTTAAGACGCTAAGTCTGAGTCCAATATTAACTGTTTTGTAGGTGTTCACGAGAGGGACTGGAGGTGACAGATTGCGCAATCTCTTTCTGGGGACTAAAGATCTGTAGAGATTTAACAAAAGTGGTTAGGGTTAGGGTTGAACCCTGTGGAACTCCACAGGTCAGGGCCACATGATCTGCAACAGTTTCCAACCTCAACAAAATACTTTTGGACTTCTAGATATTAAGAATGATGAAGTTGTAGTTATTACACTGTATTAGCAAAGGGACTAATCATTATAACACTATGGAACAAGATCTATAGGATTTAATTAATTGGTTTAGAAATGACAGTGGAGAATTATAAAAATATAATTGCATCCCTTAGAGAAGTCAAATACAGTTCTGTTACCAACATTTTTTGAAAAATGTCTTTTCAGATGAAGTGCGAGTTGGGAAATACAAAGGGCTCTTCCATCCGGAGCAGCTCATCTCGGCCATGTCATGGACAAGATCCGCACAATGGTGCCTTTCCATAATTTTGTTGGTTTGCACAAAAGCTAACAAGAACTAAAATAAACAGTTAACAAGGTCATTTTTGAGATTTTTTCAACAAGTATAAGGCAAAAGTTTTTGCTCCAATTGTATTTTGCTTCAATCCAGTACCTGACTTTCACGTACATGACCATAAGTGAACAGTCCCAGAGTGTAGTCTGATCAAAGGGGCAAATGTTTGCATTACTGGAAAAACATATCAAAATAGGTCCAAACATCTCCACATTTGCTGTGGCTTTGTTTGTTTGTTTGAATAATACTTCAGGGTTTGGAATTATGGATGGAGAAAAACATGTTCAAGTACCAAGGGGCATATGCTGGTGGTCATATTTGTTTCAGATGATTAAAATTATATTGAATGTATTGCAAACAATTATTTATATCAGGTGAAATTAGATTGGGTGTTGGCTTTTCCGTTTTTTTGAATGAAATTTGTATATAGTTTTACACTAATAAAGCCACATTTTACAAAATACTGTATCATGAAATCAACAGGAATTACATAATTTGGCAAAATGTACAAGTCTGAAGTGTTTGGCCTAAAAACAAAAGTTTGGCACTTTGTAGTTGCAGCCGCCCCTTAATTACTGTACCTATATTAGTGATCATTTACAAAATAATCGTCATTGATATTTTACTTGACAAAAACAATGATAAGTATATTTGTGCTGACAAAGGAGATGTGTAAAATAATTGGTCCAGAATATCATAATCTCCATGGAGACCAGCATGTGTGATGCATGATTCATGAAGGTTGATTTTGTTTCGATGCCTTGGTGACATGTGATTTATCAGCTGATGTTGCTTCCTGAGTAGGCGTAGTCAGCTTGATTGACCTGGCAGGTGGCTCAGACTGACCACGCCCCTCTCGGCGGGTGGTCTCTGGAGGAGAGTGTCCCATGTGTGCTATCGTGGTCCCTGACAGAGACTGGTAATGTTGGCCCCTTTTCCTGCCACTAGGAAACTTATTTAAGGCAGATGTGTTAAAAACTTTTGCTGCTGCTTACTCCCTGGGTACTGTCCAGTTACTCTTTGGGTCACGTCTGATTATTGTTTTCTGGGGTTAATGTATTTTAATGTTTATACTAAAGTAAAGGTTTTCAAACTCAACCAAAGACTTTGAAGACGATGACAAAGTCTGGGATCGTGTCTTATATTGTTGATGGTAGACAGCACGAACACGAGCATGACAGAATGCAAGTGTATTATACAGCATGGAGGAATGCAGTCCTCCAATCAGCAGCTGCCACAGTGCCATGTAGCTTGGCCTTCAGAAATCAAAACAAGGGAAAAATACTGTCTCCTGCAAATGTTAGAATGGTGAGTTTGAACTTTAACCACAGTTGCTTCAAAGTGTCATGAAATATCTAAAACTTGTTTGAACAAATTGTGAAAATAAAGAACTCCATATATAATATACTGTCTCTTGTGCTCTTCAGTCCACGAGCCTGTGCTTTAATGAGGGATTTATTTTATGTTACTGTTTATTACCAGCGGTTATTGATCCCGGAGCCATCTCTCCAGGTGGCGTTGTTGTTAATTTGGCGATTACCTTTGTACCCTACCTACCATACGACCACACATAGTTCCTTACATACATTTCAAACCATATGTATGTTCTTTATTCGTGGAATGGATAATGTATTCTTTAATTGTCTATGTCCCCATGATACAAAGTAGACATTTACATTTTTAAAATCAAGTTTTTTACAGAAATAGTGGACGCATATCCATATCTTTATCCATCCATCCATCCATTTTCTACCCTTTAATCCATTTCTGGGTCAGGGGGGTGGCAGTCAGATCTTGAATATCTTTATATTCAATGTATTCGCAAGATGATTGATCTGAAAAATCTAAGATCACTCTGAGTTGCTAGTTTCAAGAATATAATAATATCTGAAGATTGTAAAGCGCTTTGGGTGACCTTGGTCTGTAAAATGTGCTATATGAAT